CCACCCTCCCGCCCACATCGCCTACCGCCGCCACTACCTCTGCACCAAAGCGCCGCGGCTCGACACCTCGGCCAACGCTGCAGGCGGCGGCGGCGGAGCCCCGGTCGGCGACGGGGTCAGCGAATATTTCGAAAGGCCGGAAAGTCGTTAAAAATCGGCTGATCAGCGTTATTTCTTCCTGGCGGAGGGGAAAAGAGGAGAGCGGGAGTTTATGCGAAGCATGCTGCTGCAAAAGGAAGGAGGGGTGGGGAGTGGGGGCTCGTTTTTCTCTGTTTCTCGATATGTTTTGGGTTTGCGCTTCTTGTTGCTCTGTGACGGGTGACTTTGCTTTTAGCAGACCAAGCGTACCGTCACCAACACAGTGCAAAGATTATCATTAATGCCGATGAATAAAACGCGGGAATGACTCAAATCGACTGTGACATCATTCAAGTTTACAACTTCCACCACCTTTTATGTTCAGGTCATCTCACATTAACTAATGGGTAACAGTAACTCCAGAAGTTCAAAACCAAAATGTGAGATTGAAAAAGCAGAACAATCTTGAAAATTAACAAATTGTTTTGTTGACTGTAGTGAAAATGTCATGGTGCGTCAAGACCAGTTTTCCGTGCGGTTTCCCGTCACATTTTCGGCAGTGCTGCACGTGCCGCGCGCGGTCGCCCGGCCCTGTGCGGGACGCCCGCCTGCCTCGTCTGTGTGCTCTCAGTGCTGCACCACACCGTCTGCCGCACCTACTTAGCCTCACCGTTTGAAGGTTGTGTGTCTCCAGAGCGTCATCTTCTGCTGCCGCCGCCGCCACCGCTGTCCTCACCCCGCCTCTGCCACTACCGCTGCTTCTGCTCCAGCTCCTGCTCCTCCACCTGCCCATGCCTTTGCCCCTACTCCTGCTCTAGGTCCTGCTCCCGTTCTTGTCCCCTACTCCTGCACCTGCTCCCTCCCCTGCTCCTGTTCTTGTTCCTGCTCCTACTACTGCACCTGCTCCCACAACTGCACCTGCTCCTACTACTACCCCTTCTCCGACTACTGCACCTGCTCCTACTCCTGCACCTGATACAACGCCTGCACCCTGCACCTGCTCCTTCCCCTGCTCCTGTTCTTGTTCCTACTCCTACTACTGCACCTGCTCCCGCTCCCGCACCTGCCCCTGCCCCTGCTCCTGCTTCTCCTCGTCCTCCTGCTCCTCTTGCTCCTCCTGCTCTTCCTCCTGCCGCTCCTGCTACTCCTCCTTGTCATTGCTGCTCCTTCTGCCGCCGCCGCCCCTGCCCCTCCTGTGTGGCTCCCCCGCCCCGCTCCGCTCCGCCACGCCACGCCCCCCTGGGCGCCGTGCTTATAAAAGTGCGCCGGCGCTGCGGTGCGGGGCCGACATCCCTGCGCACCGCCGCCCCGCACGCCACGCGTCGCCACGCCCGGAGCGTGCCGCGAGTGTCAATACCGACGACATGCGAGGCGTTATCGGCAGGCCGCGCACGCGTTGAGCCGCTAATTAAGCAGGCGCCACGCCCCGCCACGCCCCGCCACGCCTCGCCACGC